AAATATACACAAATATTTCTGTTTGAATTGCATCTACATTAACGTCATTTTAGATTATTAAAATTAAAAAATTATTTTATATGAAACATTTCTTATTTTGAGCAAGTAATCATCAGTTTTTCAAAATCCACGGTAATAGGGCAGAGCACGGAGATAGGTACACTTACCCCTATCAGTCAGATCTGGGGTGATGCCATGAAACGAGAGAGAAGATTGTTTTTGATGTTTCGTCCCGAGAGCACGCCAGGACTCTTCAGTAAGGCTGATGATGTGCTCCCAGCCTTAGACACCTATATATCAGTGGGGATGACCTACATCCATCTTAAACGCCGTTATATATTAACCAACGTGAAATCCGGGCACTTGCGAAAAGGTCAAGTTGCATGGTTAGACACCTAGCGGATGGTTAGAGAAGGACGGAGAGCCAAAGAATACATGTGTGTGAGAGGGTCCCCACAATGTGACTACTACAGCGCCGAAGTGCCTGTACAATGAAACAAAGTGGCCACACAGTAAAAAAGCTTTACTAGCGAATTGTAAAAATTTACTAAATGAAATAATGTAAAAGTACAATTTTTTTTGCAAAATTACAAAAATTTTCGTAGTTGTACAAAATTTTTGTAATTTCACTAGATTTTATGTTGGACAGAACTGCGACCCATATTAAATGTAGTAAATATACAAGTCAGATTGTAGTCCATTTTACAACTTCCATAGTAATTTTAATACTGCGTAATAGTAAGGGTGAGATTACATGGAGTCTGGCAGTCTGCAGACTGGCAGAATCGCGCTAAGTTTAAATTATGTTTAAATTATAACATCTCAGAATAATTTAGTAAAATAAAGAAAAAATTGTAATTATTGTCATAACAGAATAAAGGCTTAGTTACAATCAATTTCATTTACAATAAAACGTATCAAATATTATTTTATAACTTTTTTTATAGATTTATGTTAACATCGCACAGTCGGTCAGTAGGGTCACTGATGTAACCTGGTATGTATAACAATATGTAACTGTGACAAAACGTTTTTCGTTGCCTTTTTTTTCATAAATATTAGTTAATACAGAAATGCAAATGTATTACGATAATTATTTCTTTGCTTACGTAACAGGTTTTAAATAATAATATTGAAACATATTTTTAAACTTAGCGCGATTCTGCCAGTCTGCAGATTGCCAGACTCCATGTAATCTCACCCTTAGGCTGCAGTCAGTGAGTGACGAGTGTGCCAGTCACATGGAGCGCAATAGAGTGTGCATGCATCCTGCAGGATAGAATTGAATTGTCCCTATATACAATCGACTGCATGTGATTGCGCCGCTTTTAAAACAATAGGTTTGTTCATTTATCCACCTTGGAGCGCTCCGAGGCCTCCGAGATATCTTTATACTATATAGGTGTACTCACTACAACTGCTCAGTGTTTACGAACATCAGTTATAAGCGGGGAATAACTATACCTATACCTATTATATCATTAATTTATAGATCGCTCGGAGGCCTCGGAGCGCTCCAAAGTGGATAAATGAACAAACCTAATGGTTCTCTCAAGTAATTACACCTTATTGCTCTGAGCAGTCCGAGTACTTATCCGAAATCCGAACTGACTCAAGCCCGAGGCAACTCCTCTATACAGTGTCGATTGCCGATACTCGATAGAGTCGATAGTCGATATCTTAATACACTATGAAATGTACGAGTATTGTAAATTGTAAATAATCATCACACACTCTCATTTACTGCATGAATTTTGTTTGAGAAAAATCGTGAGCAGCTGCAAAAGAATTTATAGTAAAAAAGGCTAAGCCTTAGTGTATAACACTAGTATTGTTTAAATATTTTACTCAATATTGCTGAGAAAATTCATTAACGAACAAACTTATTCCTCCTACAATGGACTTGTTTTATTATTTGTTTAGTTAGTAGATCTGCGTGGAGCATAAGCGAGCATACAAAAAAGAAGCCCATAGAGTTTGTACGAGGAGTGTATAGCTTATTTGTGTAACCGAGCGTAAGAGGAAGAACGAAAAAAAAAAAAAAAATTGCGAGCTTGGACCAACCGGCAGTTGGAGGCCAGCCCTGGCCGCAGTGGTCTGACCAGCGGCGGGACTGAAGGGCGCGAGTCCGTACATAGCGCTGGCCCTCAAGCACGCCGAGCCAGCCGAGTCCGCGAGCCCGGGGCCGAGGACGATGCGCAGGCCGGCCCAAACCTCGCGTCGACCCGCGAACCCGAGAGCCTGGGCCAGGCGCTTGACCTCCCGGGCGAGCCTCACCAGGCAGCGCTGCAACAGGTACGACAGCCTCGAGACCACCTCGGCGCTCGGATGAGCCGACAGCCGAGGACCAGCTCTCGACGCCAGCACGGCTCGAACCACGTCGGCCTGCGTCCACGGCGACCTGGCCAGCTCGACCAGCCTACTGCGCGCCTCCACGAAGACAAACTCATCGGCGCTCTCGGTGACGCTCGCGCAGTTGGGCACCTCCTGCGCCGAGGAGCTCTCCGAGCCGCCGCTCAACGACGAGTACGACCGCGAGGTTGTCGAGGTCCGCGAGCGCAGGGTCGACTGTACTTTCTGCACTCCCAGCCGTGGCTGCTGCTGCTGGTAGTGGTGATGGTGTTGTTGTTGTTGTTGGTCCTGGTGATGGCGACGGGACGACGGCTGCTCGGGGACGCTGTCGAGGTCGCGCTGGTGCCTCGGGGAGCCGCCGCTCGTGTGTCCACCCCCGTCGGACTTCATGCTCGCGTGACCCGAGGACGAGCGCTCGTCCGACGAGCTACCCGCGCACTCGGTGCTCTGCAAGACATATGCTTCAAATCACTGCTTATTCGATTGGCCATCGGACGATGCAGCCGATATAAAAAATTGTATTATGCAGTATCGCTCAAGTTTTGGTGCATCGTAGAAACGCCTCTTTATAGATACAAAAAAAAAAAATATACCTGCAGGGCTATCAGCTCGTGGAGACTGAGGTGGCTCCCGATGGGCTTTGGCCGCGGCGGCATCTCGGGCTCTTGATTGTTGTTGCCGCCACCTCCGCTGGGCCTTCAACAAACGAACGGGGTTGAAAGAAAATGTTCTACAAACCCATGTACAAGTAACATATATTTTGGGACGATTTGGTTGTCACGCGTTTCGCTAAACGTGCAGTATATTATATTATATACAGGGGGAGTTGCGTCATTAACTGTGAATGTAAGTCGTGGTGTACCCCTTGAGCCGCCACTGTTGGACGAAGCTCCAGTCGGGCTTGAATTCGCGGTGGGGCTGTTGCTCTATCCTCAACACGTCCTCTCGGCCGGGCCTGACGCTAACGACGATCCCCGGGCTCGGTTCGGCATCGGCAGCCAAACGATCCCCGGAATCGGTAGTGCGGTCGCGCCGCTTGGTGTCGCCAAAGTAAACGACCGTCCGGTGGAGCGGCTCCTTGGCCGGCTCCGAGTCGTCCGAGGCCGCCTCCTCCTGCCACTCGCGGCTCGGCTCGCGGCTCACGAAAGGCAGCGCCGGCCGCATCAGGATGAAGTTGCAGCCGAGCCCGGCCGACCGCGTCGACTCCATTATTCCCGAGTCGACGGTGCCGCTGGTTTTGACGCTCTTGTCGCTGCCCCGCAACTCCAGGCACAGGATGCACTCGCAATCGCTCGCGCGCGGCTTACCCCTGCTTTTCACACGCATCTATATGCGTACATGTACGTTATCGCGTCACATTCGACCGACCACTGTTTGCAATGTACGATTGGTACATCTCTGTCCTGGTTGTAGAAAAATATTGCAGGTCCAACGAGAGCCAGCAAAAAAAAAAAAACAACGGATCGCGTTCACTCGTTGATTACATTTTGTCTCATTGGCACTTTGGGGCGATAAGCGTCACGTCAACGTGTGGGTTCTTTGGGTAGGTTTGCGGGCGACTTGGGTTGTTGCCGTTGGGGCTGCTCGCACGTGACTGGCGTAGAAACAGAAAGTCGAGTATAGGTAGTGCGCATAGGAGCGGATACGTCAGCGGGCGCGTTTCGCGCAAAAGTGCGCGTGGTGATGATAAAACTGGAGACCGCGAGGTGTACGCAAAGTGAAAAGAAAACGGAGCTGCGGCGCCAACGGCGATGATGTGCGTGCAGCGAGAGAGAGAGAGCGCGTATAGGTACTACTTCCTCCGGAAAGTAGAGTAATAAGTACAAGCGAGCGAGTACGCGGGTATGGTTCCCATGGGTCCGAAAAGATGTAGGTGTATATATATTCTTTGTTCGCGGCGGTGGATCGTCCTTTTCATTCACTTTCAGCTCTCTCGCGCGTGCTCGATGCGCGTATGTGTTATTATATACCTTCCCGAACTCGTCCGATGCGCATTGTTCTTTTGTACCATTTCCTCTCTCCCTCCCGTATCCTCCTCGTGTATATAGTGTACTTTTGTACGTATACATAATTGTTTCATTCATGATATTTCGCGAGAAGTCAAAGTCACCATGAACTTTCAGAGAGAAAGAGAGATGGGGCCGGTTAAACATTTTTGTATCGATGATGTATTCAACGATAAAAAGTTGGTGTCCGTTGCTTTCGACATTTTTTTTGTTTTTTTTTTTTTTTTTCGTTGCTCTTACCCACCGAAATCACTTCATTTTAGACGCGCATGAAAATTGTAATCGTTAAACCCGAATGTAAATTAAGTTTAAGGTTAAAGTAAAATGGCACTTTTAGAGATTTTTTTAACTTTTTTTTTTTTTTTACCAACCCTCTCCACGATTTTTCATTCATTAAAAAAAACAAAAAACACACATCACCGAGCCTTGAAAAATTTTAATTTCTTGGGACACGTTAACTGTGCGATGAAATAAAAAAAATTGCAGGCATTGATATGAAACCGGTTATGATTGTTATTTAGCTACGTATATATATATATATACCCACTGTAGAGAGATTTATTGCAAACGATGAACCTACGTAACAAGAGAGGACATGTAAGGAAAAGGGTGCGGGTGCAACCTATATACGTACACGTATACGGAAGATGGTATAGGTTCAAGGTTCAAGGTCCGGTGATCGCGTATACTTGTATTGTTCGTGTTCACGGGGCGCAGTTCCGTTTAAGCGTTGGGAAGAAGAACAGCAACTCTATGCACAGAGCCGAAGGTATATACCTACACGTATCCGGCTGGGCCCTATAGCCCCCTTCGCGGTCGTCCTACATATTATGTAGCTGCTGCTGATGACGTTCGTCCCGGGCTTTAATTGCGCCCTGTCTATGTCCACTAGAGAGAGGCTCGGCCCTCGCAACGCGCGCCCGAGCCCGTGCTTCCTGTATTGGCCAATTTTCACCTCTTTTGTAACTCGTTGATTGTCGCGCTCTCCTTTCCCCCCCCCCCCCCTTTTCCCTTTTTTTTGTTGATCCAATGTGTTGAAACGAAATGATGTATACGTATAAAAAAAAGGAAGCGCAGGAAAATAGAAATTGGGGGCCATTGGCGGGGTATACAACAACAAAAAAAAGAGCAGCCGGTTGACTCTCGTGTGAAAATGAACGGGTTGCCGCGCGCGCGCAAATTTGCTTAATTGGCTGGCTCGTGGAGCTGAAAGTCAAGGAGAGATTTGGAAAGGAACGCACGCGAGTGTATATCACTCGAGGGGAGGAAGATCACGCGCCCATTATTCCAAAGTATGGGTACACCCAAGCGCGTGCATCATACATGGTAAGTACGTGGGTACGTTATTATATACGCTTGTATGGGAAGGAAAAGAAATTTGGCTCTCTTTTTCCCTCCGCCAGTGTACGTATAGGTATACACATTATATGAGACACCAGTGTACAGGTATACACCCGAAGCTACATATATATACAGATCGAGACGAGAGATACACACCATCATCCGCGCCATGCGAAAAGCCATTCGCGTGCTTCTTCCAGCTCTCGTTTTCGTTGACAAAAGTGCACAGTATTTCAATTCCAAAACAACGTTACCTTCGTGGCTTGGGCCGGATGATCTCGTGGCCGGTGTCGTACAGCAGCGCTCGTTGCTGCAGCTCCAACAGTCCGAGCTGCTGGTGCAGCAGCTTCTCCTCCATCGTCGCTCCTTTTTTTAGCTGCAGTCTCCCTCTCGTTTATAGGGCATCACCGCACGCTCCATCGGACCGGGGACCCCACGATGACCTTTGGAAATAAAACAAATATGATTTTGCCTGATGAACAGAAAAAAAAAAAAAAAAAGAAAAGACAACAAGCACGGCGCGAAAAGAAACTCGACGACGCTGTGCGAGTAATTATAACAAAAGTGGGATTCGAGGTGTTAATAACGACGCAAAGTAGGTGATGAAGACGCGCTCGCGCGAGGGTGGGAAAGAAAAAAAAAGAAAAAAAAAAAAAAAACTAGCACGGGTAAAAGAAAACAATCGGCGCGTGCCGAGGGAGAAGGACTCTCGATTATTGTGCATAATGTAGGAAAGGGAGCGAACAAACTTTTGCTCGCTCGCGCATATACCCAACCGAGTATATACGTTATAACAATGAGTCGTGAATGTAGTATATGTGGCGTCGACGCGGCTGCGGTAATTAGTACTTACACCGCGAGAGCCGGCCTAGGAAATACAATTATAATTGAGGCGTGTAATCATCATTGTGTGCGCGATGAGAGTTTATTGTACATTATAATATATATACTTGTATTGTCAATTAAAACAAGCTAAAGGTGTTTGGTTGGGTATATACATGTAGGTACGTGCACGCATCACGCGACCGACTTCATATTTCCAGTCGTACACTTTTTTTTGTTTTTACCTCGTACATAAGTGCGTGTATATATATAAAGTGCAAAGACATCATGCAACGACCGGCTCCGAAATGGAATGGCTCGAATAGCCGATTAAGGTAACTGTATATATAATATGCACACGCGCGCGTTTCGTCCCCGGGTTGAAATTTCCAAAATGCCATGTATGGTTTTTTTTTTTTTTTTTTTTTCGACTCCGATAACGGCAGATCAACCATATTTTTATAAAATCTAACTGTTGTTCTGCACGTTTATGAATAAAATGCGTCGCGTAGCAATGTCGTGTGTCAATAATAGTTCCAGAAGAAAATCAAAAAATGGTCCCTTTGGATGAACGATGATATGGAATTTCCAATTAAAACGACTCGATCGAACGAGCTCATTTGGCATTTGTTGCCCGTACACTTGATAGTTCCGGCTGACAGAAAACGATTCTTCGATACCTACTTTTATTACAATTAGTACCCAAAAAGATAACGATGCATCTGATCGTCCACAAAGTGTTATTGGTCAAATTCGAAAAATTCTCGCGTAAACGTGCCCGTGTGTACGTACACATACGTTATTTGCACAAGTGAGGAAGCAAGTCTCGGGGTCCAACGGTAAATCCAAACTTTTTGCAGATTCCTCTTGCCGCGCTTGCACGCATCCTGCTACCCATCATGTATACCTATACTGCAGAGCCACACGCACGCAAAAGGAGGCCATTCGCTCTTGATTGCACTTACTTATGCGCGATATCGAACGAATGCACAAATATTATGCGTATACGAGCTGGTAGTCATAAAGTATATAATGTTTCATGTGGAAGCGACGGAGGAATGCGCACCTACAAACAAAAATTTCGAGTTTCAAGAGCGTCAGTTTTTCCCCTTTTTACCTTTGAAATCTATTTACGATATTTTTATGTACAAGCAAACGTAACTCCATAAAAATCAAGTTTTCCCATAACTGATTTGCGCCTCAAACTGCACGCATATACGGTATGATATACCGATTTGGTTGGATCAACCACGTGTGGGTACGTATATATGAGTTATCGTAAAAACAGAAGACACTGCACTCGCGATCAACAGGTTGTTGGCGAACAATCGACCGTACATGTATACGCGCGAATTCGTCGATCGAAAGTCCCCGGAAAGTGAAAGTTTCGGGGCGGAACAATCGCTTCGACGAGAGCCGATCTGCAATCGTATGTACACGGAACATGACGCGAATCTGAAACGCGAACTGCTGAAATAGCTGCATTGGAGGCCTGAGACTCCCACATGATAAATGCACGTGTCTGACTGTCGAGCGCTCGCTGATCTTAATCATCAATCGGATCGTTAATTGTTATACCGGGGAAAGTATCGTTGTACAGCTCCTTTGACCGAAACAAAAAAAATTGATAGACAGAGAGAGCTTCTCTTCCATTAATTAAATAGATACTTTTCAGGCATTGTTTTACTTTTTTAATGTACATATAAAGGTATATATATATATATTTGTGCGCGTCGCTGGAGTTGAAGAACTCTCGCGGAGAAAGACATACGTGTATATATATATATATCCAAGAGGACGAAGGCGGGGCCAAGAAAGAGAGAGAGAGAGACTGGTTTTCCACGGTAAAGGGCGCACACGTGAAGAGTGTAAACAGGTTCTTTCCTTTTTTTTTCGCAAAGATCGGAATGAAAAGGTTTTTCAACGAGTGACAAGCGATTTGCGGAAAGAAAAACCGGCGTTGATTGATTATGAACCCAAACGATTCCCGAACATATTATAAACGGCTCTCTCGCGCGTAGAGATGCATCACACCCACATGATGCGAGCACACAACGCTTTCCCGACTTTCCTTTTTCCCATACGTGTAAATACCGCGAGTAAAACTGTACCATGGGGACGTGTATGCATACGATAATATAAATGTATGTGCGTGCACCGGGAGAATATATATATATCGCACACGTATCGCATCGCGGGTGACAGTAGAGAGAGAGAGGGAGGGAGGATGAACGAAGGCAAAGGCGCAGTCAATGTGCTCTCCGAACACTTGCCGATGCTGCTTGACTAGTTGCGTGCCTCCGCGGACTCTCGGCTTCATTCCGAACTCTCTCGTCTTTGCGGAGAGAAACTGCGTGTATACATGTATATATGTACACCAACTAATGCAATATATATATATACATTTACATTCTCGCGCGCTCGTCTTGTTGCACTTGCTCGGTGATCTTCTCGGGGAGAAGTTTTGCGTTTTTCTCACGTGCAGCTGTTATACTTACTTTTTTTATGTTGCCCGATCGTAAGCTTATATTATCAACGTTTCGAAGATTATTTTACCGACACTTGGAAAATTCGAGCCGAAGGGAGTTGAAAGCTTGATTAAGTAACGGAAAACGATTTTCAAAATCGGTAAGGAAAAAAAAATGGAATAAAAATTCTATTGCTATTTCGAAAGCGATTAGATTCAATGTCTATGAAACTCACCTCAAAAAAGGTCGCAAGTTCGGGTGCATGTGCGTTATTGGGTACCGATCACAGTCCTCGGATCGGTAGACTATGTATAAATGTCATCGGCAAGGCCAGGGGTAGCTTTCTCCAATGCCAACATTAGCATACTGGGTGAAAGGAGGTAAGAAACATGAGCAACTTCATCTCCGGTTAGTATGAAGTATGTAAGGTTTGCACTCAATGGTCAAACGAAAACAAATATAAATAAATAAAAACTTATAAATTAGCTGTATCGGATCGTCATCGGTATGTGGCAATTGAAAGACTTTATTTCACCGTGAAATAACACGACCTACTCGCAGCGCGAGAACACAACGGTTACAGCTTATCACTCGGACAGTGTCGGTCCGGCGACTGGCGACATGGTCCCTAGCATGCCTCCTATATAAGTACACATAATGTAAGTGTATGAACACACACTCCCTTGCGCGCGGACGGACGATCGCGGAAATACCTTCCGCCTTCCGTGCGTGCATGTGCATGTACATATTATGTATCCATTGGATATTAAAAAGATGCAACGCCCCTAACTCGACCGCTACCCTACAGGGATAATATTTATGTGGATAAGCCCACAAATGGCACTCTTTCGCTAGTGGCGTTCTCGTAAAAATGATAATATGGCAACTAACATTTTCGAGTCGATCTCAAAAGTGCATTTAAGTACAACATTTTTTTTTTTTTTTTTTTGCCATTTTTGGACAGGACATTTTTTCACAGTCCGCAAAAAGTTAAAAACCAATTAAGCTGCAATTTTGTGTGTATGTTAAGGACTATAATATATACCTTGTGGCCAAATTTCAGCTCTTAATATTGTATAGAACGCGAGTTATTGAGTTTCGAAAAAATGGTTCAAAATGGAATTTTTTTGCAATTTGCGAAAAAACAGCTTAACCGATTTTAACCCAACACTGCTTATTTTGTTCGTATAAAAATTACGCATCTTTTTTACCCAACATTTTTTTATGAGCAATTTTTCGGTTTTCTTCTGGACTCGAAAAACATGTTTTGGCCATTTTTACCATTTTTTGAGGCTTTTGCAGACATTCCAACTTGTTAAATTCTGTGTCAATTTTTTATCATGCATTGAAACTACTACCCTATTTTTTTCGAGCTAGTCAGAATTTTCGGGGTCGAAAAACTAATTCGATCATACTAGCAAGTTATGAAATTATTTTTTACTCATAGTTATAAAATTGTTTTTTACCGTCCTTTTATAAAGCACCTCGAAAGAAGATTTTAAACCACCTCCTTATTGTCTTCGTCTATTTTATTTTCTATTTCTTTTGAACCTAATCCATTGACACATTCGTTATTGGTGAAATCTTCTCCAATGACTGGTAGCTCGTCTTTTTTCGAAACGATTATACCTAGTTAATACTTTGTCTGCACTGAGATTCAAAATGGACTTTTCCACCTCGTACTCGTCAGAAATATAGAACTTTTTTAATACATGTGAAGGACAATTGTTAATTTCGTCAAGTTGTTCTTTCGATTTTCCTTCTATAACGATATTTATATCAATGGCCTACAAAAAAACAATTCCATATACAATAACCAGGAGAAATTATTAACTAATTTATTTTTATTCAAAATATACGACAATTAAAAAACAAAAAAGTGGTAAAGATTATTTCTCAACATGCATATTTTACGGGTCAGTAGCGCGATCTGTTGGCTGTATCTCAAGCTAGTACTTTTTTGGTTAAAGTTTTCATCTACGTACAATCATTGTCTCTGTCGGCTTTTGCCAACATGATGACAAAAAATATTTATTTACTTTTGGGAACAGTGTCGACCCATCTCAGTAAACTAGAGTGGGTGTATAAGTATGAGGTTATAATTTGATTTGTTGTCAAACAAAATAAGTTTTGTTTATGTAGCGGTGATAATAAATAAAGTATATAGACAATACAAGCTTATTCTAAGCAAAAAAAATGTCCACGAGATGGTACGTATACATTGTGCATACGTTTTTATATTTTTGTTTATATATTTATTTACCTAAGTACCTGTCAGTTGAGAGGAATCAAGAGTTATTACCTTTGGTTTTATCTTTTTGTTATATTTACAGGTATCCGCTTTACCAAAAAGGTAATCCACAGTTACGGATTTTCCTTCCAAATTTTTGGATGAAAATGGTTAAACCAGATTTGGAACAGCGCAAAAATATCGTGCACTTTCATTGTTCTATGGAAATGACGAGGCACGACATTAAGAATTACTTGGAGAAAATTTACAAGGTCCCAGTTATCAAAGTCAACACGAGGATAGCATTGGGTACGATCAGAGAAAACGAGTTGGGCACAATAGTCAAGGATGATGACATAAAAATTGCCTATGTCCACTTGGTAAGTACATTTTACCTGCATTGTGTACTTACCTGTGTGCATGTGATAATTTATTGTTATTTTTAGCCAAGGTACGAAAAATTTGAATACCCCAATTTGTTTGAGACCGACCAAAGAAAGAAGGAAAAAGAAAAAGAAGATTCAATTATGGAGGAAACCAAAGCAGGATTCCAAGCAGTGGTGGAGGAAAATAATAAAACTCAACCTGGTCTCCCCCCTTGGTTTAGAAATTTTTAAATTTTATTGATTATGTCTGTTACGAAAATTTATTAATAAAGTACTTGTAATTTTAATCCACTAGCGTCATTTGTGTATATAAAAATAAAATCTCTGACGAATTTCAGTCTCAAGTCTTTTGTGTTAACACGATTTTGTACCATCAAGATACTTTGAAAATTAATGTAAAACAATTACACTATAAAAATACTTGATCATATCATATCAAATGAAAAAAAAGTTGTTCGCATTACATGTCGTATCCGTTACCGGCATTATCGTCATCATACCCCTAAGATACAGAGTATTATTGACTAAACAATGAGCCCTCGCTCGTTGTCAAAGCCACACCTAAGTGTAAGCCAACACTATAGTAGTAAAATTGCGTTTTGATTTTACTTTGATAATAGTCATATACATGGCAACCTCAGACGGCAAAAAAATCAACGTCAACATTTCGTCAAACATGTACGGCAGGTAAGTGCACCTAAATTAAATCGGATCACTTCTTAATACTTAGTATCGGAACTGGCGTTTCTTTGCAATCAATAAAAGTTTCTCGCTTTTTCTCGATAAGATTAATACCCACTACCGGCCCAGACAAAATGAAGTTAACCTTTTGCACCGACATGGACAAATCGGTGATCGTCCACAACTTCGAGAAACGAGGCTGGTCGCAAGTTGGGCCCGACGACGACTGGAACGTTTACTGGTAATTCACCGTTAGGAAAAATGATTTTTATATTGTTTAAGCTTTAAATTTCTCCGTTTAACCGACTAAAGGAGTGATCAACGTTTCGTTTTGCACAGGGCCTTGACTCAGTCCTGCAGGAACATTTTTAGCGTTGAAACCGGCTACCGAATGTCGGACCATCAGTAAGCTATACATGCCAACCTTCACTCGAAGGTAAAGAGCAAAAAAAATTAATTTTCAGCGTTTCGACAGGGCAATCAATCATTTCCCAAATCACTACGAGCTGACGCGAAAAGACCTGCTCGTGAAGAACATCAAGAGATACCGCAAGGACTTGGAGCGCGAGGGCAACCCGCTGGCCGAGAGATGCGACGGGCCCGGGAAATACCTCCATCTCGACTTCATTCCGATAACCTTCGTTTTGCCGGCCGGTAATTTTACCAGATTGATGATCAAAATGCCTCATTAAACGATCGATTGACCGAGCACCTGAACAGATTACAACATGTTCGTCGAGGAGTACCGCAAAGCTCCGCAGAGCACGTGGATCATGAAGCCATGCGGGAAATCCCAGGGGGCCGGGATATTCCTGATCAACAGGCTGAGCAAGCTCAAGAAGTGGTCCAGGGAGGCGAGGAATCCGTTCAATCCGAACCTCGGCAAAGAAAGTTACGTCATATCTAGGTATGTGTACATATAAATATATATATACATATCCACCGAGTCTGGAAGAAAAACAATTTGATGGATTTTAACAGGTACATCGATAATCCGCTTCTGATCGGAGGAAAAAAATTCGACCTTCGGCTTTACGTGCTGATAACGTCGTTTCGCCCTTTGAAAGCGTACCTGTTCAAACAGGGCTTCTGTCGCTTTTGTACAGTCAAGTACGACACCAGTATCCAAGAGCTGGACAACATGTACGTTCATCTGACAAATGTGTCGGTGCAAAAGCACGGAGTAAGCATAAGCAAAAGTCAATTGATCCCGAAAAACAAATTGCTATGGTTTTTTTTTGGGGGGGGGGGTGATCTGCATTTATCACAGGACGAGTACAATAGCTTGCACGGCGGCAAGCTGAGTGTGCAAAATCTTCGCCTGTACCTGGAGAGCACGAGGGGCAAAGTCGTGACCGAAAAACTCTTCTCCAACATTTCCTGGTGCATCGTCCACTCGCTGAAAGCCGTGACGCCTGTGATGGCCAACGACCGTCACTGCTTCGAGTGCTATGGCTACGACATCATCATCGATAACAAACTCAAGCCCTGGCTTATCGAGGTTTTTTTTTTTTTTTTTTTTTTTGTGTCACTTGACTGTAAAATTGCGCTCCTTGACTTATCGTTCGTTAGGTGAACGCGTCACCGTCGCTCTCGTCGACTACGGTCAACGATCGGATCCTCAAGTACAAACTCATCGACAACATCATTTCGCTCGTCTTGCCTCCCGAGGGGGGTCCCGAGTAAGGCAGATTTTTAATTGTGTGATGCTCTAATTATATTGCTCTACTTGATTTTTTTCCCCAAGTCATATCAGTTGGATTTGAATTTGTAGCGTCAGGTGGAACAAGTGTCCATCGCAAGAGGCAATGGGCCACTTTGAGTTGCTCATAGATGAAGAATTGGCTGCGCAGGACGAGAGGGACAATCCTGGAAAGTACAAAAGTTATTATCATAAATGGAAATAAATACGTACGATAGTATACGTACGTGTCAATGTTCGAAAATTCCCACACATTACTTTTTTTTCATCCCTTTTTGATTATTAAAAATTTATAGTTTAGTACAAAAACGTTGTTGGTATTATTTAAGAACGAACCTTCAAATATGTTAACAAAGTTTTTTTTTTATTTCTTGTTCTGTACAAATATTTTACAAATATCCATAATCTTTGATACCATTGTAAAAAAATATACATATACATAGAGGTGTTAATCAGTCTTATGGTATTATTAAAAATTCGTTTGACAACAAAACACTGAAAATTAACACCCCAATCAACAGTCGATTGTATGATTCGCGAGGTCATCGATTCGATGCGTTTAATTTTTCTTTGCATTTTTTTATTATTATTTGCACGAAAATAAATAATCGAGAGTTGACTGTTACGTACAATAATCTACATAACGTGGCATTTTCAATGATCAACAATTCACAATCATTGATGCAGTGACCTTACATTTCGTGTAAAATTAAATAAATGTGTACGCAGTTATTAAAACGTAATGTATGCCTTATTTACAGTTTTAATTAACGTAGCGTGAATCAAATATGTACATATCAAAAATCGCAGTTATGGCACAAAAAATTTGTGATTTTCATCACAGGAACAGTTTTCAATTTTTTTCAAGCTTCAAAAATTCTGGTCAGTTATTAAAAAAAAAAAAAATTTCTTAGAAAGTAGGCTTTTTCATATCAAAATCATTGATTTTACGCATAAGGTAGAAATTACAAAATTTAGTTTTTTCTAGTACTAAAGTCGTAAAGACAATTTTCGACAGAATTTTGAATTTCGATATTATTAAATGTGCTGGGTAAGTAGTACTAGGTTTAAATTACGCGTTTGTACACATACTTACATTAGTAGTTTTTTGATATGACTACTTGTATGGTAATATTTCAACAAATATAACAGTTTTATTTTGAACTTTCATTCAATAAACATTAATTCCTATGAGTATTTGATTGCACAAATTTATAATGCCGTTTCATTTAAGAATAATGTAATTATAAATGTTATTCAACCGAAATAGTCTTAAAATTATGTAGAACGCAAATATTATTAATAATAAAAATAATTCATCAACCACTGCGTTTGAACAGTACAACAAATTTTTAAACAAGTATATACCTATACATTGCAAAATATGTACATGAGTATTTCTCATTTCTTTAAACTTGTAATAGATTTTGATTGCAAATAATCCAGGTGTGAAAATTTATAAAAAATAAAATTTATTTAAATATAATTTTTTGAACAATTTTAAAATGATTCGACGAAATAGCTAGATGTCACTCATGATGTACAGTGCAGCCTTTGGTTAAATGCCACTTTAATTTGTAAAATATAAATAACGCAATTACTTTATTATACATATAATTCTACTTTCAACGATACTTAAATGTTGTAATATATTTTTTTATCACAAATAATAACTTTGCTTTAAAAAACTACACAAATAAAATATTTGTGATTTCATTCATGTACCTTAGATAAAATGAATCCAATTTCAAAATTATTTCGAACTCAAAACTGAGTCTAAAACAATTTATTACATTATATTTTTTGAACCCTACTTTTCACATTCTAATGTAAATTGCTCGAAAAAATTTTTGTTTTCAATTGGATTCATTAATTTATTGCTTTATTAGAAAATAGTGTCATGTATATTATTTTAATATAAACTCTAATAATCAGTCATTTTTGTTATCTCAAGTCAAACATTAACAATCGCAAGTATTTATTTACAATGGGTCATAAAACTATTTGCGATTACTTGCAGGCACAGTGGTTTTCAGACTTTGTACATAGGAGCAGATGATCCAATTCAATAGTAAAAAAAAATATTCGAGCTTAGCTCATGGCATTGAGTAATGCCAGTAAAAAAAATTCAACACGTTTTTAAAAGTTGAACACGAACCGTCACGTATCCTTCTGGACAAAAATATACCAAAAGTTTTAGTTCTGGGCAAAAATGTGTCATCTTAGAAAATTTATGAATATTTGTGTCTTCATAAATTTTTAAAGACTCTCTGAACCTTTTTACCAGGAGATTGAAACGTGACCATCGATAGTGATAATGAATTTTATAAATTTATTGCGCTACCTAAGTCTTAAAAATATGCTTTCAATTGTAGTCCTTCATACCACAAGAGTTTTGGCACCATTGTAGGGATCTATATTTAAGGAGCTTAGTTAATGTAAAAATTTTACGCAACGAGCACGAAAGTTGACGTTAAAAAAATTGTTAAGCTTTCATTGGGCCTTGGACTCGAATCGATAAACATTCGTTGTCTAGTTTGTAATTGTTAAATCGTCACTTTTTATCATTAAGTAAAGCTCTCCATAGAGTCAAAAATACCGTTTGTACTGTATACTTATTGCATATTTTAAAACTACATGTATACAAGTCAACATACGATTTTGGTCAATCGCGTAAGAGCTCAAATTATCGGGCTATTTTACATGATTATGTACATAAAAAAAAAAAAAAAAAAAATACGCTTTTAAAAGGGAATCTGTGAGAGAGTTATTGTTTACTGTGACAACTCAGTCAACGAAACGTCGTGGTCGAGAAGAAGCCACTCGTTTGATTCGTTTGCCGGAGCAGAGCTGGAGGCAGTGAGGGATTTCAAGGAATAAGAAGAAGCTGAAGAAGAGCCCTGGGTCGTGGTTGACTCAAGGTACAGGCGATGGAGGCGGTGGTAAGGGACTGAAATAGGTCGAGGACCTCGAGGACGGCGACGGCGGGCAGCTGATTGCCGTGTCGCTCTGGTATACTGACCTCGGGGTCGGGGGTGGCGGAAAGGGCTCCCCGGCATGACCATATCTGAAGCGCGGTATCGCTGGATAGTTGCTGTCCGACTCGTCGCATACGTCCGTACTGCAGGGCGTGGGTGGTGGAGGCTGATTGATGCTCCGATAGTTGCGGTAGGCGTTGTAACGCGAGGCATTGCTGCTCGAGCAACGCGTCGAGTTGGCCGTGGTAGCGGGACTGGGAGGCGGGTTGAGCGTCTCCTGCGGGTAACCGCCAGCCGAGCTACCGTGAGTCGAACTCGAGGCACCTGCAATTGTACGAACGGTCAAATCAATGGATCAACACTCGCCCTTTCATTGGCTGGTCGATTCGAAGAACATTAATAAAATAAACAAAGTGATAACGAACAGTAGGAAAAACCTGTAATGTGGCTACGGTCATAGCTCGAGCTGATGCTGCTGGCATTGAGCGTGGACATTCTGACGGCAGTATCGAGCTTGAGATTTTTGCGCGAGTTCTTCTGATTGAGCATCGGTTTTGCCAAACGATACGTTTTAGGGGAGAGCGGATCGCCCGCGGAGTCGTGCAGAATGTCAGGCAGCTCCTCGCCACTAGTGAATCGACGGCGACAATAGTAGAAAACGAAAACAAAGGTGATGCCAGACAGCGTAAATATGAGCAGGATCAGTAGGTAGGCGTTTTTGCCCGCGTCGAGCGCGGGATCGAGAGGCTGGCGTCGGTTGTCGATTGATCCCAAGCAACTCGACTCTAGCTCGTCGCTCTCGTCCGCGCAGTTGGCCCAGCCATCGCAGAGTGCCGAGATGGGCAGACACACGTCCGAGTTCTTACAACGGAACTCGTTGTGCTGACAGCAGTTTACCTCGTCCTCGCCGCGGCTGCAATGTGCCGTGCCGTCGCAAACCCACGCGTTGTCTGGAAAAAGTGCCTTACTTGAGTTTCGCTCGAGACACGCAGTGTATTCTGCGTTACTCGCAGTATAGATGTGGTGCTTACCGATGCAGTGTCCGTCGAGGCACTCGAAGAACTTGTTGCGATCACAGGGCGAGCAGCCGACCTCGTCGCTCCCGTCGGCGCAATCATTCTGCCCGTCGCATTTCCAACTCGATGGAATGCAGTCCTTGAACTCGGCGGACTTGGAGGTGAGGCAGGTAAAGTGATCAGCCCCGCAGGTCGGTGCTATTCGGCAGTTCTTCCCGTCGTCCGAGAGTACGAGCGACTGCGGACACGAGCATCTCGGGCCAGTGGCGCTCGCGCCGACGCAAATGTGCGAGCAACCACCGTACTCGTGCAAAGGGCTGCACACGTTGGACTCCATGGCGTGGCTACTGGGCATTCTCACGGATACCAAATCTGTGAGCGGACGGTTGCTCATGACAGCCTTTTTCCCGGAACCCTTCATCTTGTGCACCCTCTCGACAGTTTGACTGTCGCGGTTGAACCTGCAACGAGTGGAAAACAAACATAAGTATACCCACCGCAAGAGCATCATTCATCAGAAGTTTGGTTGCCTACCAATAAACGTAGTCGAAGAGCACCGACAGATGTACAATGGAGCCCTGGGCCGCCTCGACGAGAGAATGTCGGTTTCCCCCGTTGATGTCTGAGAACTCGATTTGATTGCCGTGCGCGTAGTAAACGACGTTGGTGATGGTGTCGACAGCCAAACTCGTCGGTGGCTCAAGGTCCGATGCAATGACGACCCTCTCCTTGCCGTCCATCAAGCTCTGCATGACGCGCCTCTTTTCACCGATGTCCGTCCAGAAGAGTAGTCGGCGCTCTGGATGCAGCACGATGTTCCTCGGCTTTTCACCCTCACCTTTTACGACGACGCCAACGCTAGAGTCACTGTCGAGCCTAGTGACGTTGATCGCGTCGTTGATCGAGCACGACCAGAAGAGCAACCTGCCAAGAGGATCCAGTGCCAAGTCGAAGGGATGGCCAGCACCACCAGGCAGCACGACAACGGTGTGCGTACGGTTCTCCAGAGCCTTTCTGATAGAGGATGTGCGCCCGTCACCCGTACGGATCCAATAAATGTACTGACTGATCGGGTCGAACTCGATGGCTCGCACGTTCTTCAAGCCTTGTACGCGAAGCGTTATGTCGGGGCAATCGTTAGCATCGGGCAGGAAGCGGCCCATGACGTTTCGGTAGCTGTACACTATGAAATTTTTCGGAGCTGTGGACGAAAAAAAGAAATTCACGCGTGGTTAACGCAACCGTGCAGCTGTGCATTATTCGCGGGGTTTATTGCTCTACACATGTACTTACCAACGCAGGTCCTATTGTTCGGGGCAAGGCTGTAGTGCGTGGGACAAGCGCACTTGTGACTGGTCGACGTACCGCCTGACTCTTGTGGCAACGCTATGCACAAGTGACTGCAATCGCCGTTGTTGGTGGCACACGTGTTCCAGCCAGGCTGCCTCGATTCGTGGCAGAGCAGGAGATCCGTGACCGACTCCAGGTGATCGTGGATTTTCGTGCGGTTGCCCCCGGTCGTCTTGTTGGCGCGCTCGATGTAACCCGTGTTCCAGTCCGTCCAGTAAATGTAGTCCTGGTACTGCGTAATGCTGAACGGGTAGCCGATTTTCTGCATGATGGCTTTGCGCGATTTTGTCGTCAAGTCGTAGCTGTCGATCGCCGAGGTGTACAGATCGGCCCAGTAAAGTCGTCGAGTCTCGTGATCTATCGTCAAGCCGTTCGTTCGACCGACGTCCGACACAATGACTTGTCGATTCGATCCGTCGAGCCAAGCTCGTTCTATACTGCCAGTATTCGCCCATTCCGTCCAATACAAGTACCTGAAATTCAATGTCGCACAGTTTATACAAGACTGTGCAAGCAATGGCGAACTTTTCGTATACTCAACGCGATTCTTACCCTCTTTGTGGATCGAGAGCGAGACATCTCGGCTCTATGAGATCTTGCCAAATGAGAACTCTCCTGCTGTAACTCTCCAGGTGGACGACCTCGATTCTCCGCGTACCCGTGTCGCTCCAGTAGAGGTTGTGCGCGATCCAGTCGACTGCAAGCCCGTCAGGAGTCTCCAGACCCAGATCGACGACCTTTTCAACCTCCGACCCGTTCACGAAGGCACGGCTTATAGCTTTTTGTTTGACGTCGGTCCAGTAAATTCGATTGTCCGACATTTCAAAGTCAAGGGCGCTACGAAAAAAACGGACAATCTAGCTGAAACCGAGAACACGCACTCGAAGAGCACATCGATGGACTCACCTCACGTCCTTGACGCCCGCGATCGGGATGACTTTGTCGTTGTTGGGGTTCTCGATGCTGGTCCTGCCGATTTTATCCTTCCTCGTGTAGAGAAGAAACGCCTCGGGCACGATGCAAGTCTTCAGGTCCTTGGTCAGCTCGTAGCCGATCGGACAGGCGCAGACGTACTTGTCCTTAGGTCGGTTGAGGCACAGGTGGCTGCAGCCTCCGTTAGCTTTGGCGCAGGGGTTCGTGCCATTTGGTCGGCCCCTATGCACGGCTTTCAAGCCCATGACGTTCGGAAACTGCTCCACGATGACCTCCCTGTCGCCACCGGTGAGCTTGTGCGCTCTGTCGATGCTACGCCTCTGCCAGTCGGTCCAGTACAAAAAGTCTCCGAGCAGACTGAAGCCGAACAGATGCGGCAGATTGTCGGTTATCACTTCTCTACGGTCGGTGCCGTCCATGTTGCAGACCTATTGGGAGAATCGACGGAAGTTTGTACACATTGTCCACGTCAGGCGTATCAGGTATCATAAAAAAAGGGGACGTTAAAATTGACAAAAGTACCTCGATCTTGTCGGTCTTGGCGTCGCACCAGTAGACCTTCCGGCGCTCGAGGTCGAGAGCAATGCCGTTCGGCCAAACGATGTCCTTGCCGACGAGCAGGGTGCGCTCGCTCCCATCGAGATTGCTGCGCTCGATCTTGGGCCGCTTGTCGTCCCAGTCCGTCCAAAACATCCAGCCGAGCTCGAGGGCCAGCGCGATGGCCCGGGGCTCCCCCAGATCCTCGTGCACGAGCACGCGCCTGCTCGAGCCATCCAGGCGCGCGACCTCGATCCGATCGGTGCCCGTGTCCGTCCAGTAGAGGTTGCGCGCGATCCAGTCCACGGCTATGCCGTCGGCGCTCTTGACCTCGCTCGTAACGACGTCCTGCTGGCCGGTGCCGTTCAGGTAGGCCCGTCGTATAACATGCGCCTGCTCGTCCGTCCAGTAGAGCATCTCGTCGATCGGGTCAAAGTCGATGGCGATGGCGTGCTTGATGCCGCTCAACGGCAACACAAAGTTCGTGTAGTCGGGCGAGTCGAGCGATATGAGGCTGATCTCGTTGCGCTGGACGATGAGAAGAAGCTCCTGGGGCCCCGGGGCGCAGTTGCGACCGTCCTCGAGCAGCCGGACCCCGGTAGGACAGGCACAACTGTAGCCGGCTGGCCGACGACTGCTCAGGAGACAGAGGTGCGAGCAGCCACCGTTGCCCCCTTGGTCGGCGCACGGGTTCGGCTGCTGGGGACTCGGGGGCGGCTGGCGGCGCGCGTCCCAGACCTCGATGTCACCGGGTATGTACTCGCCGTGGATGAGCTCGCGCGGCCTCGCCTGGGGCGCCCTCAGATCGAGACTGTGTATACACCACGTGCGCCAGTCCGTCCAGTAGAGGCGCTGCTCGAGGTAGCTTATGGCGAAGGGGTACTCGAGACCCTCGCTGACGATTTTGCGCCGATTACGCCCGTAATAGTCCATGACGGCGATGAACTTGTAACGCCCGTCGACCCAGTAGACGAGCTCGTTCTCGTAATCCACGGTCAATCCGTTCGGCCAGAATATGTCGTCGGCGACGACAACTTGCCTACTCGCCGGGTCACCGTCCATCGAGGCGCGCTCGATCTTGGGCACGTCGCCCCAATCCGTCCAGAAGAATATGCCCCGCTGGGGCACCAGGGCGATCGCGCGAGGCTGGTAGATGTCCGTCCAAAATAGCACCTTGCGCTGCTGTCGGCCGCTGATGCTCGTCACTTCGATCCGATTCTTCTCCCCGTCCGTCCAGTAGAGTTTGCCCGTGTACCAGTCGCAGGCCAGCCCGTCCGGAGATATCAGGCTCGAGTTGACGATCGTCATCGGCTCCTGTTGGTTATTGTTGAGAGAGAGAGAGAGAGTTTACAATATACGTGTAATTAATACTTGTCGTATGATGATGACGTGTGTGTACGTACTTGGGTGTAGGTGCCGTTCGTGCGGACGCACTTGATCATCTCGAGGATGCTGTCGGACCAGCAGACGAGGTTGCGCTCGTAGTAGTAGTCGAGGGTGACGCCCTCCGAGAGATCCTTGATGATGGTCGAGACGAGCTTGTTGGAGCGCGACACGTTAGCCACGCGGATGTCCTTGTTGGTGGCGAAGAGCAGCCTCGGTGTGCTCGCTGGTGTGCCTGAAAAACGTCGAGTTGAGATGTATACGATATGGATTCGTTGGAAAATTATACGTTTATCGGAAAGTGCGTTAGGTGATGGTTTGATGACACGAGTTTCGTCGTATGTATATGTATATACCGAAGCTCCCTTTGGTGTTGTACTGCAGTGTGTGTTTAATGTGGATGAGACGAGAAATAAGTACATAGGCATAAAGAGGTAAAGATCGGTTGCTCCAAAAAACTTTGAAACAAAAGGACTCATTGTCACAATCATATCAATTCTATTCAGTTTTCCGACTATGAACTTTCGAAAAAAAATTAATGTGTAAATAATAATAATAATCACGTTTTCGTCAATAAATCTTCGGAAAACAATACTTAGATTTAAAAAAGTAATTGTAGTGATAATTTTTTATTTTGCTTCAGGTCCGAAAAATAGAAACAAGATCAGAATAAAAATTCTAAGAGCGCCAACTGATTTTATACGTAATACTTGGTTACGTTGCAATGTAAAAAAATCTCTTCTATCGCAACACACCCGATTTTTCTATTCCTTGCGCATTCCCGTACTTACATTTTCAGGAGAAATAATGTAGTTGAGACATGACTCGACCGTCAATGAATAGGAATTTTTATTATATTTGTATACACGTACTTTCGTAATAAAATAAAAAAAAATGTTCTCGTGAAACCAGTGAGATACACGCAGCTTCTCTCTTCATCCATATACTGATTATATTATATACTTGAGTCCTGTTTCCGCACTATCACTTTTCTTCCGTCAAGACGCATTAGGCATTATAGGGCCTTATCCTTGGGGCTTATCTCTCCCGGCACACTTGTGCAAGACACATTAAGTTATATAAGGTATATATACAAATATATATATACATGCAAACATTGTACGAGAAAAAAAAAAAAGAGGCTTTCAACTCCGCTTCTCCGTGTGCCAAACCACCATCGTTTACCGCCATGCACATCTGCATGCACTCTCTCTTTGTTGAACATATAATATATATATAGGTGTACCATTCTAGAAATAGGCGGGGATAATACATGTATGCACCTCCTCTGTAAGGTATGTGTTTACGCGGGTGGTATCCGCGACTTTGGGTATTGTGTTACATTCCAACGCAAACTCAAGTGTTGTTGAACTTGTAGACTGATGAAAAAAAAAAAAAAGGTGTTTATAACACTCAAATCAGTTTATATAAGATGTATATATACGATAAAAGGTGATTTTCTATTTGGGTAATCCGATATTCTATAATACAACTCTGGAAAGCATGATGATTATGATGCAGTTCCATTTTGTGCCATTTATGACGAATAACAATTGCAAATAAATCATGGAATGGTAAACAATTGTTCGTTCTGATGTGGATTCATGTTGAAAATAGACGAAATTTACAACGGATGAGATAAACAAGTTGCAGGTATACTTATGTACTACCGGGACAGCAGCAGTACATCAGTATATGGTAAAGGTAATAGGTAAAGGGTACCTGGTAACGTAAGTACATATATATATTTATATTACCACTGACGCAGCTGCAGCAAGGGCGCGCACTGCAGTTATAAAACTTGATGTGTGTATACCTCTATTTTTCAACCATCACGTAATGTATATAGGCACTAGGTATATGTATACCATGTGCTTTGGCAGCAGAGTATATTGCCCGCGGGTGTGCATGCATGCATATTTATAGTATAGCGACGTCGATTGGGGTTCCTTATCTGGACGTTTCTTTTTTCCCTTTCGTCTCGTCTTTCCCGGATTGTACGCACGCGAGATAGGGTAGAAAAAAAAAAAAAAAAAAAAAAAAAAAAAAAAAAAAAAAGGCTTCGGAGGACGAGCACGAAATATGACGAGGAGGAGGCGAGCATTCAACCTTCAGGGGGGAATAACGAGGAGGAGGCACGAAGAAGAAGAAGAAGAAGAGAGGAAAAAGTGTACTTATAAAGAATCGAGTGATTACAGGTGTGCGCTTGGCGTGAGCGCGCGGCCGAAGGAGAGCGATTATCCATATACAGCCAGGATATATATATATATACAGGACTCGTGTATTATGTATATATACGAGCAACGAAACGAGGTGGTGGAGAGGGTGGAGGTATATGCGTATACATACATACGTACATACACACACATGGAAAAAATATGGGGATTCTCTTCTTCTTTTTCTTCTTCTTCCCTTATCTGCGGGCCATTGAGTTCGCGACGAGCGAAAGCAATCGCGCGTTAACATCGCGAGGGCCTGTTCGCTCCCTCTTTGTTACACACGAGACCTTATTATTGTCATCATTATTTCTTTGTTTTTTTTTTTTTTCTTCTTCTTTTCTTCTTCATCGGTATACAACAATAATAATAATACAGGCTATACGTGTGCCCCTTGTTGTGCAATTTCTTTCGTTTTTTTTTTTTTTTAATAATTATGTTTTATATCAACTAGACGTAATACACGACGAAACATTTCACTCGCAATATTGTGTTAGTAAAACCAACAAAAGCTCAAGTTGTTGTTGTTTTTTTTTTCCTTTTTTTTTCTTCTTGAAAGTTCGTGTACTTTACTTCATAATATATTATATGCCAAAAGGAAGGGTATATATTAATATAATGTAAGTACTTAAACAACGAAAGAAGGAAATATAAAAGGAAATTTTGATCCCAAGAACTTGACGCTTCTCCCCTTGGCCAATCACCTATGCAAACAAGAAAAGGAAGCATCGGGAGGAGAAGAAAGAGGAGGAGGAAGAGGCAAAGGAGTCAAGGAAAGCCCCCTTGAGAGCTACCTATACTCGTTCCGAGCGTAACGAGGCAACAACAACAATAACGAACGAACGTCTATACCCAAGAGAGAGGGGAGGGGGGAAATGCATGGAAGCGCCTGTTGCATGCAGCTCCGGCGAAGAGAGAACAGCAGGCGCACAGGCCTCGAACGAGCCGAGGAATCTCCATACCGAAGCAACGACACCATCAAGAACAGAAGAAGAAGAAAAAGAAGGATGAAACGAAGGAAGGAGAGTGAAGGAGGATGAGGATGAGGAGACCGTACAAAAGAAGGACGCGCGGTGTGGCTGTGCTGCACGCGAACTATATAGGTAGTAGTGTAGTAGTTATATAGGAGACGAGAGGACTAAGTAAGGAGGTGAGGAGGCAAGGAGCAAACGAGCATCAGCTCTTCTACTTATGTATTCTTTATCTGGGTATACGTATACGCCAATAAGAGGGACTGAGAGTATGGAATTGTCCTTGTTGTATATTTATTATTATTATTATTATTATTATTATTATTATTATTATTGTAGGTGTAGAGGCTCTCCGAGAGGATCCTGCTCCTGCTGATGCAGTTAACGCGGCGGGTCCTTCTTTCCCTTCCTCAATAGCCATATATACGTATACACACACACATATATATATATGTATGTATATATTTATTGTAACTGATGCAGCTTGTTAGCAAACGCGTGTTGTGCTGCTCTGCACCTCTCCTTCAACAATTCCAACCCTTTTCATCCATACCTATATATATAAATTTCCTTTCTTTGCCTCATCTCTCTTCTATAGTTATACCTATATCCTTGTGCTCATGCATTACACACACACTCTCGCGCACTATCTACTATCTCCCTTTCTATCCTCTCTTTCGCGCAAAAATATACACCTATCATTTACATCCCCCTTTACGGACGGTGATGGTGGAGGGTCCTCCCTCCTCTTGCCGTTGCAACCATCATACATCATGCACACATATATAATATATATCTCGTTTGCGCGTCTTATATATATATATATATATATTTTATACCGTTGATTCTCCTTCTTCCTCGACTTCCTTCCATATTCTTCCTTTTGCTTATACTCATATACATGACACACTCAACCTTATACTTACGTACACCTATACTCTTCGCACGCTAACATGCCTGTATATTTATATTGTACCACCCACTTATACAATATATTTATAGGTATATATGAAACTCCTCGCCTCTCTCTCTCTCTCTTATTTGCGATTCTCTCTCTCTCTTCCAGCTGCAACGAATCGACAGCTCTGCTATCTCGTATACAATAATCCACACTCTCGAACGGATGAAGAGACTCTCTCTCTCTCTTTTGTGGATCCTGT